ATCCCCAGAGAAGCCCCATGTTCCAGGGACCACTCCTCGCCGGTAAGGCCGGCGATCCCTGCCTGACGCCTGGCATCGGATCCGCATATCCCTACGTATAAGCCCCAACACTGTTTCGCATTCACCCAGGCCTGAAGACCTGTGAGGCAAGGAAAAAATCTTGAAAATACTCTGAAAGAAAATTCCACGGACAAATCAGCCTCGAAACAGCCGAAATGGAAACTTTTCTCGATGAAAACAGTTTTTGAAAAAAATCTGCATTCACCGGGAATCGAACCCACGACCCCTAGAACAGCGTTGTATCAGTGACAAGCACGCTTACCACTGAGCCAACGCCGCTCATACAAACTCAGTTAAAATGTTATCTTGTATCCCATGAGAATAATAAAAACTGTGTTTGTGAATGTAAAAATCTTTTTCTAAGAGATGCAATGTTTAATGGCACCTGAATAGTATGTACAAAACGTTATAATTCATACAACTATGTATTATTAATAAAATTAATTGAAAAATAGTAGTTCCTGTACCTGGTGGCTTATCTGGTTTGATGTACACTAGGTGCAAACTCCTACTCAGGGCGCAGTAAACGTCCAAAGATAAAGAAAAAGCCATAAGTACAAAAAACACCATTCTAAGTACAATCATTATATATTTTTTTAAAAGAACTGATGTTTTACAACAGTCAAAACACTCAAGATAGTTTAAGAAATGCGTATACGTATTATAAGTTGTAAGTATAACGCCGTTAGCTGATAAATAATCTCGTCAAACATTCTTGTACAATTTTTTTTTTATTTTACAATTTTTTAGAATACGAAACGTTTCTATATCTCAAATTCGTAATAATTTTTAGCATGTTCGTTATTAAATGAAATCTCATCATTTAAATTCAAAGTAAATGCCAACAACATGGTCATTGAAGGTGGCACATTACATTTGTACTTTTTATTTACTTGACATCAGGCTATGACACTTAAATACATTGGGTAATACAGTTGTCACAATTCAAGTTATCACTTTCTTTTCATAAACAATTACCGAATTGATAATGTATCATACAATATTGTCTGGCGAATCTACATTTTCTTAATATTTTTTAAAAGTTCAGAATTCCCTTCTTAGTACCTGGTTTTGTAATGAGAGTCAAGTTATAATTCAGAAGATGTTGCATCAAATGTACATAGAGTTAGTATGAATGACTGTAAGGGATCACGTTAAATATTTGTATTTAAGTAATTTGTTTTGAAAAAATTTTTTAACAGCATTGTTTTAAATTTTGTAAAATAATTGAGTTAATATTTAAGTGTAATTCCCACAAGTTTCATTCATTCTTACAGTATTTTTATTTCATAATAAGTCACCTTAATAGTTTTATTAATGATCATGCTTTGACTACTGTTTTTTAAAACCGAAGTATTTGATAAAAATCTTTTCCATAAACTATCAATTTGTTTTCAAATAAAACTTTTGTACTATAAAAATCACGTTAAGTCTTATCTATTATTCTCAAAACTTCTTTGTAAAATCGTAGGGACCTCATCTTATATAATTAATCTCACTTTTTCTAATTTTTTTTATTTCCAACTTTTTTAATCTTAATGAAACGTTTTTAACATTTTTTAAATTCGAAGGTGAACAACAAACTCTTTGGCTGGTAACACTTTTTGGAAGTTAAATAGATGCAATATCAGTCCAAGCCATGAATACATATTTTTTCTTGAAAAATAAGATAATACATTGATGTTTTATAGAGGAATGTTTTTGTCTAATCCTCTGCGACCGTCTATAAATAATGTTTTTTTGTTTCGTTTGCATGTAATTTGAAAAATATTTGTTTCGTTTTTTAGGCTCTATTATTAACGCCCTAAGGCGTACTTTGCGCCCTGTAACTACTTTGCGCCTACGGTCCAGAATGAACATTCGCAGGTGCTGGCCAGGGGTACTTACGACTTCCTGCAAGACTGTGTTTGCCGTGCTTGGGAGTAGCAAGACTGCAATTTTCTAACATGATATTGTACACAGTAATAAACAATTTGACATTAAGTATAAAAAAAAGAATAGTACTTACCCAGGAAGGAAAAATACAAAAATCTTATGTCGCAGAAAATTATCAATAAGCATTCGATCTGGGTGACTCTTTGTTTTCTCTCGTGGGCATGGATTGTATACGATTTTTTGTCAGTTCTTCTTTCGGTGCAATATGGTTAAAAAACTGTTTTGAAAGATTAACTAGAAGTTTATTACACTTAACGCTGCATTAAAGTATTTAAAAAAAAAAAAAAAAAAAAAAAATTTTAAGTACTACGAAATATCACGGGATCTTGTTAACTAGTGAGTTGGGGTAAAGGTGGTTTTTCTAGTTAGTAATATATTTATACCGTAGCATCTTTGTCTCTTGAAGTTAAACAAGTTTTGCGTATGTAGATCAAGGGTAAAATTGTAATTATCACATTTTTAGTGTTTAATTAAAGTAATTCTGAGGATGACATCAAAAACTTAACGAGCTAATGAAGTATTATGCTTTCACACAAGTTAATTCATAATATTAATAAAACAATCATCCATATGTTCAACGAGGCATATTTCTCCTGGGTTTTTAATTATAGTATATCCTATATACTGTATCACATCCTGTAAACCTGCCTGATATAGAAAAATAAATGTGAGCTTTATTACGAAGCCAAAAATATTAACACACTAAATTTTATGTATAGTGTGATAAAACTATATTTACGTATTACATTAGGAATAATAGAAACATGGATCATATCTACATCGATCTTCTTTGACTCAGTGTTATCGTAACTATCTTATTAACTATGCTTTTTTTCTTTCTTTTTTTTCTTATCTCTTATGATCTCTTAGCCAAGTGACAATTAAGTACAAAAATTTTTTCCATTTCTATTTATACTCTAGGAATCAGTTACCTACTCCAAGCCTTTAATTATATTTTTTTAATTAAGAGTTGTGACACTTTACACACATAATACAATTTTTACTTAATAATTTACTTTTAACCTCTTACATTACAAGTGTAATCCCAAAAAATTTTAACTAATCAAATTATTGTAATTGTGTTTGTAGTAATAGAATCAGTTCTTCGTGATTTTTAGGATAATTTTTATTAGTAATGATCCCTTTAAACTTGCATTAAAATTTCAGCAAAAAAATCTATTTTCGAACATTCTCAAAAAAAGCGAATATTCCACAGTAACTTTTTCATGTTATCATTAATTTATCTGTTACTGCTTACATTTAAAAAAGTTTCAGTTTTTAAATAAATGTTATATAGGGGAGAATCACGTCAACTGTCCCAGCGCCGCGGTGGACGGCCCGCGCGGGCGTCAAACACGACGTTTTCAACTCGTCGTTTCGGTGTCAAAACTTTGATAAAAAAATTATCTAAAAACATATTCTTACGTATTTTTTCCTCAGCTTTCCAGTGGTGGCATCAGTTTTTCGAAAATTTGCTCCCATAACCTCGAAAAATGCACTTGTTTGAAAAACACGTTTTATCTCCATGATCTTCAACTTTTGGAATTTTTTTGATAGTCTAGATCGAAAGATGAGACATTTTTACGTAGATATCGACAATAAAAAAAGAAGGGTTTTTCGTTCTTATAACGTATTTAAACGACGAACGAGACGATGCGAGCCGCGGCAGCCGGGCCACGCACGGCAGGAGCGTTCCGTCTGCTACCGTCTCTCTGACTGGATGTAAACAAATACACCTAACCGTGATGGTTTGCACTTCGCAACAAGTTTCGATTAATTAATTAAATATTAGTATTTATTATTTTTATGACTTAGGGTTGTGCTATCGTAAGTCGAAGTTTTCGTAGGTTTTACTGCAAAGAAACGAAGGTTTTTTTAAGTAGCAAATCTGACTACGATGAAACTTCCTTGAGATTAAAAGACGAAATTTCCAGTGTGAAACTGATTCCAGGAACACTGAATTATCATGCGTTTATCCCCATTAAGGATAATAAATTAATGTTGAAGAAAACTTCTTTAAGTAACCAGTATAAAATTTTTCCGAAACTGAAAGAACGTAAAACAAGTGTCACTTCGATTACCATGCCTAAAAAGAAAAAGAGAACGAAGTAAAACAAATTTGTTTTTATTTTTTGCTTTATTTATGTAAATATCTAATATTTAATCAATATTAATCATTATTTATTTCTTTATTATAAAATTGTTGTATATATGAATAAATTTTATCAAAACATTTATTATTTATCCATTGTAAACCCTGGTTAACTAATTGTTGTTTACATCGCCACTACTACATTATATATTATATAGCCAAACAGACTCACCGTAGCAGACGACACACGGCGGACGCGCTGCTGCCGCGCGTGGCCCGGCCGCCGCGGCTCGCATCGTCTCGTTCGTCGTTTAAATACGTTATAAAAACGAAAAACCCCTCTTTTTTTATTGTCGATATCTACGTAAAAATGTCTCATCTTTCGATCTAGACTATCAAAAAAATTCCAAAAGTTGAAGATCATGGAGATAAAACGTGTTTTTCAAACAAGTGCATTTTTCGAGGTTATGGGAGCAAATTTTCGAAAAACTGATGGCACCACTGGAAAGCTGAGGAAAAAATACGTAAGAATATGTTTTTAGATAATTTTTTTATCAAAGTTTTGACACCGAAACGACGAGTTGAAAACGTCGTGTTTGACGCCCGCGCGGGCCGTCCACCGCGGCGCTGGGACAGTTGACGTGATTCTCCCCTATATAACATTTATTTAAAAACTGAAACTTTTTTAAATGTAAGCAGTAACAGATAAATTAATGATAACATGAAAAAGTTACTGTGGAATATTCGCTTTTTTTGAGAATGTTCGAAAATAGATTTTTTTGCTGAAATTTTAATGCAAGTTTAAAGGGATCATTACTAATAAAAATTATCCTAAAAATCACGAAGAACTGATTCAGAAGAACTGAACAAGAAACTTCGTGTAACAGCTAATTAATTTGCATAACGTTTTTAGCTACCACCCAATACAACATGGCAAATGCTGCGAGATAAATGTCAAGATATAGGTGAAGTCAAATATGCTGAGATGAGAGGCAACGATTTGGGTTTGGTACGATTTGCATCTGACTGGGATGCAGAGCGTGCTGTGTGTATCCTTTAAAACGTAAAATAAAATAATAATTTATAGTTTTTTATTATTGTATAATGTTTTTATTATCTTTTTTTTGTCACTAAAAACTCGAAACATGATCTAAAAATTAAGAATCAGTTTTATTTAGCAAATGATTATAATTTATTTCTCAAAAGTGTTCTACAGATTATATATTTGTTTACAAGTAATTGTACTAAGTATACAGAGTTTCAATGATTGAGTGGTTAGCTTGCTAGCCTTCTTGCTGGAGAAACTCTAGGGGTTGTGAGTTTGAATCTCGTTAAAAATCATCGTAATTTATTCTAAGATTCTTACCTAGCAAATAAAGTTAGCTAGAAGACATGTGATAGTTTTGCTGCTCACCTTGACAGCGTGTTTAAGTTATTGGGTTCTGCTCTTTTATATTTTTTTATACATAAAGTATTATTTACTTTAGTTGCATTATCACAAAGAGTAGAGATTTTGCAGTAGTATTGGACTTAATGTTAAGGAAGAGAGTGACTAGCTATGGCTGGCTCCTTATGCCTATGGTGTGAAAGACGTGACGGCGCGAAGTGGTACTCTAAATCTGGTGACTTAAGTGATTCGATGGTGCTCGCGATTTGGAAAATTTGGTTCAGAGGACGTAAAAAAGAAGAACCTCCAGCCAATAAAAGTCATCCCATAAGTACAGTACACATGCAAAATATATCATTCATTGGTTGATGGCTGTTCTTCCTTTCATCTTCTGAGCTGAGCTTGCTAATTTGCCAGTCCCATAAAAAGTGATCGATGTTTTGCCATGTTAATCATTGTGTGTACTTAATTGTTCTTTTATTTACATTTATCTTTGCTTATAAAAGATGACTAACGCAGGTTTTACGTGCTGTTAAAATATATACTAACACTATGAGTATTTCATTAGTATGGCAAAGAAATGCGTACATTTTTCCAGTATTTCATTCATATAATCAGAAACGTGGACATTTCTTCCAATCATTTCTTATAAGATCACTTGAGCGGCTTGAAAAGAGGAACTGCTAACTTCTGCATAAGTCACATTAGACCGGGCTCAAACAATGGTGAACCGAGAAAAATTATTCGCACCCAATTTTTTTGTTTCGTGTTTAAGGTACAGTAATGTACTTAAAAGTTAATCTTGCCACCCAAGAATGTGGTCAGGTATTGTTTAAACAATTTTTTTGTAAACAATTTCGTCAAAGTTGTTTTTTCGATCTGTAAAAAATATTCTCAGGTTCTTTGGCACATTTGGAAAGAAAAACCAATTAAAATGCATATACCTGAACCCCACATTTCTCGAGTAAAAAAATCCCAAAGTTTCGAAAAATGCATTCTTTCCGATTTTCAGGGTTCTACGAGACTACTAAATAAAGATATTTTTATATGTTACAACACACGATTACAAACTGTAAGCCATCCTTTACAATCTCCAAAAAAGAAAATGTCAATAAGTTGAGTGGCAAGATTGTTTTTTGCAATAAACGTTCAGGGCGTTTTAGAGCGCGCTCCCGCTTGAGTGTATACCTATATATGTTCACTACACGCTGAGCCACGCAACGTATATATAAGTTTCAAGTACATTACTATACTTTGAACACGAAAGCACAAAAAAATTGGGTGTGAATAACTTTTCCTGGTTCATCACTGTTTGAGCCCGATCTATATCTCCATGTTATACAGTTACATATCAAGGCGAATTTACATGTTTCAATGGCCCGTAGGTTTCAATTCGAAACCGATAAGATTTTGCGGTAACGCTACTACTATTGATACTAACATGGTACATTGATTTGTCACTTTTATTAACTGATCTAAGCAGCTGCGTGTACATTGTAACCAGTCATGAAAGAATATGAATTATAGAACATGAATAAATACTAACACATTAGAATTGTATTGGTTGTCTTAGTGGTAACTGTTCTACTTACAGGGACATGAATGTTCTAGGGGTCGTGGATTTTATTTTCACAGAATGCATTTTTCAATTTTTTTTCTTAGTTGCGTTTAATGGAAAAAGTATCTTTAAAACTGGTTGATTAAAGTCAATTTTTTTTTCTTCTTAATTCTAACTTATTTAAGTACCGGACTTTTCCTTATCCCACACGTGCATAATTGCAATTAAACTGCAAAAATGCTTAGCTATATCTATCTCTAGCTATTTTTGCACTGCAAAAAAAAAACTTAGATATATCAGCTGTACAGTACTGCCAATAGGGTGGTACTGGCTCCTGTAATAGAAAAGACGATGCAGTACTGTGCTGTTTCCATGGTATCACATCTACTTTTTCGGTGGGCTACAGTTGAATTACATACTAATCTCTAAAGTTTAGTAAAATTTTCCATAAGATATAATAAGATTCTCTATTGTATCATTCATTATTTACTTAAATCTTAACACTCTTAATCTCCTGCATTACATAGTTTCTCTAAACAGATTTTCCTAAGACTAATTTTTCTCAGTGTACATAAATTAAACTGTAAAACCCATCTTGAATAATCTATTGTCACTTTTTTCAGATTTCATATTCCTGTAATAGCCCACATTTCTACCTGATACATTATAACACTTCTGATTACTAACAAAATATTTTCATTCTTAAAAAATCATTGATACACCGTATTTCTTACAGGACTCGGAAGCTTTTTTTGCAGCTACAACTTCCTTTTTTTTGAGATCCTCAATGTGTCCTCTTAAATTTGCTTTTCTATGAAACATTAAACAAACACTAAAACAGTAAAACTTTTTCTATCCTATCTCCTTTGAAAATCTTTTTTTCCTCTACACTGTTTGTCCCTCTATTGATGACTTATACTTTCGTTTTGCTGGTGCAAGAAATAAAGCATTTGTCCTCTAAAAATCTACCCAGAGTTCCTAACATATCTAAGAATGAATCTCTTATAAGTATGAGAAGAGTTTTAAATTGTCTGGGTAAGCCAACAAGAAAACTTGAGTTAGCGTCCTCGAACGTCCTCTATATCTTTTGTGTTAGTCGAATCCAACCATTGCTCGAACTGAGAACGATATCGAAATGTGCTCATTGTTACGCAGAAGACTTATGATTGGCCTAGCACTTGCGCGTCGTTAATTAGATCTAAGTACTTAATTCCTAATAACCCAATGCTCTGAAGTTTTTTCATGCTAATAAATATGAAATATGCTGCATTATAAATCTCAAATAGTTAAACCCCATTGACTCGAAGGATTTACTTACTTTCATTTGACGATTTACCTCCAAGCGTTAAAAACCAAATTAAATAGCTCCCAGTTACCCGGTGTGCTTATGTGCTGGTGCATTTATTTTATAAATAAATAAATAAAATTTCGAGCTGATGAGCCTCAGTAACCCGATGCAATTGCTTACCTTTCGTCTAAAGTATAGTATAGTAGTTTTCATAGCTATTAGTGTGCATGCTCCAGGTCAAGCACCAGGCTTAAGGGATTCCTTGTGTCTACCCTAGTTAAATTTGCACCGAGTGCAAACTATATTTTGTTTACTCAGGATGCAGTAAACAACCAAAGTTAAAAAACAAAACGCCAAAAGAAAGTTAAACTGTATAAATATCGTATTTTGTTCTTACACTTCGAGAATTCATGTCTTCATATCATCAAAATTTTGTTTTTTGGTTTAGAGTGTAAGACAAATTTTTCCCTACTTCCAAGGTGTAATAAAGGGTTTTTGCTTATTATTTAGTAAACACAATTAAACCAATGAGTTTCAAGGTAAAAACCATTTGAAAAAGAGCTCTGGAAAAGTTACTTGTATACATATTAAAAGTTTTTGTGTGACTTTATCACCGGTATAAAAAGCAACATTTGTGACACGTATGTACCATCAAATTTATAGGCTCATATATAAATAGAGGTGCTGTTCCAAGCACTTTTAGCCCATCCACGTTCTTTCATGAGGGTAAATAGTTTTTTAATTGAATCTTGAAACGTCAGAAAATATACGTTCGACGAAATTTCCATCTATTCGCAAAAAAACTATTACTCGTTCACATTTTTTTTTCATAAACATTCTACTTCTGTTCTAAAAAATAACTTTTCAGTTTTAAGGAGAATATACTTAGCCAAATGTATTGAGTTTTCTGTTAAATAAGGTTTAATAAAATAACCTTGTAGTCTTTATTTTGTAGCACCACACACTTCTTGCGCAAGAAGTTTTTATCTTCTTTTCAAGGCGAACGAGTCAAGTTGGAGATTCGAACTATCAATTGGATATTAACCAAATTTTTTCTACTGACATAAGCACATTCGTTGTGCAATAAGTACACAGCGATGGCTATTTAACATTGCTGATCCCTCATATATTACATTTCAGTACAAGTTGATGTCGAAATGAATATAATATTCGTTGCGCATGTTACGTAGTGATGGATGTTCTAATTACTGATCGTTCACATTTACGCAAACTAATGCTGCAAGATAAGCAGTTTAAAAGATTGTTTGAAGATTGCACGCGTTTTTATAGTTCAAAGAGTAAGTTATCGGTCATATAGATTCAGAAGCAAATACATAGTTCAATGTTAAGTTCAGTTGACAGAAAAGATTTAATTTTTCGGGCAGATTTTTCTTGTGTATTTTTCCATAGAACATTAATTTCTAAGTTTAGTTGCTGTCAAAGTTGCGTTTGATTTTATAGTAACCAATTATTAAAACCAAAACACTTTCATTCAGATTTTGACATTTATTTCTTTATAAAATTTGCAAAAAATGAGTTCTGGTAGTGTTTGCTAAGCATTACTATAGTACCGAAAGAGTAAAAATTACTTGTAATAAATTTCTCTGCTTACTTTAACGTGTGTAAAAATTTTAGCATGATTGGTGGTTTCTTTTTCCAAGCAATGAAATTAGATTTTTTGTTGCAATGATTGCAAAGTGCTCTGACTCCCCAGAGACGAATTTTACTAGTTAAACCAAGCTAAAAACATCAAAAAAGTATTCAAGTTAATTGCCTCGATAAAGTTTTAGGCAAAAAATGAATGTAACAGATTTTA